GGATCCTTATTGCTATGCCTAGGCTGAAATCCATTCCAACCCAGGTGGGGACTGGTGGGTTCCCCCGTAGGAGGACAGAAGGAAGGGTGGGGGAGGCATTTGTGTGTGTATGTGTGTTGTAGAGCTTGCAAAAGTTACTCTCTTGAACTACAGGATCACTCAGCCAACGTGGTCATCATGGGGATGCCCGCGGGGGAATGCTGGGAACTGTATTCCCCAGAAGTAACTTTCTTTTGTGCGTTCGTGCGTCTTTCTCTCTTTCCGCGACACCCTGCCCCCCCCCCCGCTCACTAGGGGACTAAGTGAGGGTGTCTTCATCCCCACCGCGGTGAATTCGCACAGCCGTGTAAAACCCGGCAGTTTGGTCCATCGCTTTGCGGGGCTGTCATCCGCCGAGAAGGAAGCAACGTGAAACACGCTCACCCACATACACCCAAAAATCAGGTGTGGGCATGGCGGAAAGTGGGCGTCCGTAAGAATCCCTGCTTAGTGGAGAAGTGCGGTCGGAATGGTCCTCAGCCTCCCCGCAGGCTAGGACGGGCCATCGGGCTATCGAGCCAATTCGGTGCACAAGCCTTGATAGCTAAACAAAGCAACCTGCTCGGTTGACACCGCGTGAGATTGTGTATCTGGAGGTGCTTAGACAAGGCAGGTGAGGAGGGTGAGATCGGGAGCAAGTGGCACTTGTAATGCGTGTTCACCGGATCTCTTGTCTTTTCTCAGGGCTGGGGATCAGGATTAGGTTTCCCGGCTGTCCCACCACCGTCCACCAGAATAGTTGCACCCCAGTTTCTGGAGCTCCCCTTTCAAACTGGGCAGAAACCAGCCCCTGAGGAGCAAAAAGGCAAGCTAGCACCACCTTCACCCAACTAACAGGGGCCCCAAAGCGAGACTGGGAAGCTCTCTTGCCCAAGCACCCCCCCCTTAAACTGCTGTGCTCCTTTTTGCCATTTAAGTGAAGCACCGATTAAGGCATTCTGGGGATTCCTTAAGGTGAGGTGGGTGGGGACACGTTCTCTCTTCCCCTCCCTCCGCCAGGTGTGGCTGGAATCCAGCTCTCGGCCCTCCTAGCCAGTCCTGTAGAGTTAATGATGGGAATTGTGATGCAACACGGAGGAAAACATACTTTCTACGACCCTTATCGGGAAGGGAGAAAGGCGGACTATCAAACAAATGAACGAACAAAGGATCCCTGCCTGAAAGTTGCAAGGGATGCCAAGGATCATTTTAGTCTAACCACAGGCCAATGCGTGGATCTGCAGCTTAGCCGCAGAACTGGAGAAGCGGAAGAGTTCAGCTCTCTCTGTGCTTCATTTTGCTCTCCTTAAAGGTATCCCTAAATAAGAGGCTATCCTACGCCGCGTAATGGTCTATGGCTGCAAAAAAAAAATCCACCTTTTAACAGCTGTTTAGCCGTCCATCTCTTCCTGAGGGTAAACAACTCATTGAAGCGTTCGGCCAGGGAGAACTACACCGCCCCAAATCATTTCTGAGTGGCAAACAGTCTGTGATCACTTTTTCCCCCCACATCGCAGGACACGTGCAGGTCTTGCTGACAATTGTGCCATGGGTGGATGTCTGAAAATGTGAGTAAGTG